CCTAATCTCTCCACACCCTTCTTTATTCTCCTTTTCCATCATAATGGATACCACTTCATTACATTGGTTTGTTCACATTATACACCTTAATTATCCATGTATTTCCCACACCTGTGTCTTGGCTCAGAGTAGGCACTGAGTAAATGTCGGAATGAATGAGTGGATACAATTTAAGGGACACATCTAATCTTCTTAAATGAGTTATGGGAGTATATTTCAAATTTGCGTACCTTTGTTTGAAATTGAAAAACATTTATATAGCCTCTATTATATAGTTCTTGAATGCAGACCAGAACGTAGACAAAACGTTTGACATTAGGAGAGTGGAGAGAAGGAAGGGAAGGAAGGAAGGAAGGAAGGAAGGAAGGAAGGAAGGAAGGAAGGAAGGAAGGAAAAGTATTACTGATAATACCAAAAGTGGAAACAATCTAAATGTTCATCATTTGATGAATGTAAAATAAAAGGTGGTATGTCCATATAGTGGAATATTATTCAGCAATAAAAAGGAATAAACTGCGCATATATATTGCAACATGGATGAACCTTGAAAACATTATGCTAAGGGATAAAAGTCACAAAGGACCACATGTTGTATAATTCCATGTATATGAAATGTCCAGAATAGGCAAATCTATAGCGACAGAATATATCAGTGATTTCGTGGGGCTAGGGTTGGGAGAAATGGAGACTGATTACTAATGAATATGGGATTTCTTCCGGCAGTTGGGGAGGGGGTGGCAATGAAAATGTTATAAAATTTACTCTGGTGAGGTTGCAAAACTGTAAATATACTAAAAGCTATTGCATTGCATACTTTAAGTAGAGAGAGTTTTATTTCCTAATTGACTTTTAAGAGTTCTGTAAAAATTCTGGATGTGAAACTTTTCTTTCAATTATGTGTAACAGATGCCTTCTCCAAGACTATGGCTCCCCCTGCTATCTTTATGTCAGACATTCTTAATTAAAATATAGTCAAACTTACCAAACTATTTTTCATAAGATTGGTACTTTTTGTGTCTGATTTAAGAAATCCTCTATCTTGGGGTCATAAAATATTTTCATATTTTCTCCTAAAATCTTACATGTCCACATTTCATTTTAGACCTTCGATCTACCTAAAATAGATTTTGTTTATGGTGCAATTAGAGATTCAATTTCTTTGTATGCAAACATACATAAAAATATGCAACATTGCTCTGGTCGGTTTGGCTCAGTGGTTAGAGCGTTGGCCTGTGGTCCAGAGAGACTGGGGTTCAGTTCCCGCTAAAAACGTGTTCCTCGGTTGCAGTGTGTCCCCCTGGTTGGTCGTGAGAGTGGCAGCCACTCGATGTGTTCCTTTCACGTCGATGTTTCTCTCTCTCTTTCTTTCTCTCTCCCTCCCACTCTATCTGAACAAAAAATGGAAAAGTGTCCTTGGGTGAGGATTAAAAAAAAATGCAACATTTATTGCCTCAACTTTTCGCTGCACCTGCAACATCATTTCTGTGAAATGTGTATGACTCTCTACTTTGTTCCATTGGGTTATTTATCTAACCCTGTACCATTATCACACACTGTTAAATATAGATCTTTATAGTAATTTTCCTCAGTTCATTCATCAGAAGAATCTTGGTTATTTTTAGTCTTTTATGCCCACATTTCAGAAACAGGTGTTAGAAAAATCCCTGTTGAGATTGTGATTGGAACTGCTAGACCACTTTGGGGGAAACTGCATCTGTAAAACACTGAGTCTTTCATTTCAGAAGCACAGTATGTCTGTCTATTTATTTAAGGTCTTCTTTAATGATCTTCAATAACATTTATAACGTTCTTCATGAAGAACTTGCTCATCTTTTCTAGGAACTTTATTTTTGCTGCTGTTTATTTTTATTCCAAATGTAAGCAGTATTTAAAGAATTAAATATACTCTATCCTTATTTTGTAAATGGGGAGTTGAGAGTGCACTTTAAACTTTTGAGAAATTGGAGAAAACATATTTTTAATTATTTTCTGCATGATAGAAGTCCCTCATATATGCTCATGCATATGAATAGTAAAACATCATAGCATTCTAAATATTTTACTAAAAGTATAAACATCCCACCTATTCTCCTTGAAAATTGTATTCTTTTTTTTTTTTTTTTTTTATCCTCACCCGAGGACATTTTTGGATATTTTGTTCAGATAGAGTGGGAGGGAGAGAGAGAAACATCGATGTGAAAGGGACACATCGAGTAGTTGCCACCCGCACAACCCAACCAGGGCCGGGGACAAACTGCAACTGAGGTACATGCCCTTAGCAGGAACAGAACCCAGGTCTCTCGGGACCGCAGGCTGACACTCTAACTGCTAAGCCAAACAGGCCAGGCGAAAATTGTATTCTTTGTGTGCAAAAGAAAGAACAAGATATATATGAACATTCTTACAACCAGTGGGTTAAATGCTGATCTAGAATGCTAGCCTCCGTTTTCCAACTTGAAATCACAGCCTTACATAATACTGTGTAAAGTGTTTTCCTTTTTAACACACTAAACATTCACATTACAATTCAAGGTCTGTTTTTCCTCTTGAGACTCTGACTGAATTAATATGTCTCTGCCTAGACATGAGAGTTTTTTTGTGGGAGTAAAATAGTCTGGCTCAGACATCAGGATGGGAAATCAGTAGAGCAAGTGCCAGATTACAGAGAATTTGATTACATCCAGAATACTCAGGGGGGATTTTATTGTTGTTACTTACCTAACTTTTTCCCTAACCACTTTGATTCTCTAATATAGTGAACTACTGAAGCATTTATAAAAGGAGTCTACAGTCTGTCAAAAGCTGAAACTCTAACCTGTTCTCTGTGGATTTCACCCTAGATTGCCACAATAGTCATTTTGATTCTAGTTCTTTAAATACTAGGTTATGTTTATATTCCTAAATCCTTTTTTTCTAAGCCATTCTCAATCATCAAAACTTATCTATAAAATTTCATTGCTTAATATGAAAGCCAAGAAACACTCCATTTTTATTCCTCAACTTTTTAAATAGACATTAAAATTGAGAAGCATTTAATATGCATGCTTGAATGTATCATGCTTTATTTTATTGTAAGCAATAGAAAATCTTTATTTGCCAAAGGGTACCATTAGTCTGTTGCATTTTCAGTTTACAGTTCTTTCCACATAATCTGGGATTTCCCCCACCCCCTTTTTCCTTAAATTTAAGCTTAAACTAAAAATCTTCCCCTGAAGATGGTTGAGCCTTGTTCACATAGTACCTAATTCCATTGGGTCTCCTTACTAATTTATTAAATTTCCCCTCTACTCACATTAGGAACAAAATGCTCTTAAGGCTTCTATAAATACCATCATATGAACTGATTGAGATCTTTAGAGCCAGAGAGAAACACTTACTTACTTCTAATTACTTGAATTAATGTCAATGTTCAGTGCTTCAAGGAGCCTTCTCATTTCAGTGCCATTGGCTTCTTTAGGGCTCAGCAGCTGCTTTGTGGAGACAAAGGTTAATGATGGTTCAAATGCAATACATTCTAGGGAAACTTATGACTCTTCATGTGTGGTTTTACATCACATTCAGGAATAAATGTACTTCTTCTCCCTGGATGTAATATACTGTATTTCTTTTGATGCCTTCAAAATTTTATCTGGCTTTCAACAGTTTGACTTCAGTCTGGACTTGGCTGTGTTTATTTTATTTGGTGTTCATTTAGCGTTCTGTACCTGCAAATCTCTGTCTTTCATAAAATTTGGGGAAATTTTTTATTCTTCAATTTTTTTCATGCCCCTTTCCCTTTCTTTTCTCCATCTGGTATTCTGTGTATATGTATGTTGGATTAATAGATATTATGTAGTAGGTCTCTGAGGCTCTGTTCATTTTTTTTAAACAATTTTTTTCTCTGTGTTGTTCAAGTTGGATGATTTCTATTGCTCTACAAGTTCATTTTAAATCCTCATTTAATTTGGCTGTTAAATCCACCCAGTGAAATTTTTTATTTCCACCTGAGGTGCTGCTGTTGCTGAGCCTACCTCCTGGACTGCACTGAGCCTTAACCTAAATGCCAAGGAAAGGGGACTTCTTGTACACTCCTCAGCTGCCCACCTCCAAGCTAGTTGCCCTCCTACCAGAGTCGGCCTGCTTCTGTTTGCATTCCAGTATATCCAGGTAGTTGCTTTTGTATGCTGTCCAGATGTTTTCTACTGGGGGATAGTCCAGTAGGGTCTTTGTCATATTTGGAAACATAGTTCTATTGCTTCCTGGGACTTCCATTCTTGAGAGAGTCATTTCTTGCCTAGGTCAATGCAATAGCTTCCTAACCATTCCCCAGATCTACTTTTGCCCACTCAGGTATATTCTCAACACATCAGCCAGAGGGTTTCTATTAAACATTAACAGCAACTTCCAGTGTCTCCCCATTTCACTCATAGTAAATCCATGAATGCTTACAGCGCCCCACCCTGTCTGGTTGAAACTCTTCATCCTTGGCTTCCTGGTCACACGTTTATGAAGATTTGCATCCTCCTTTCCTGACCACTCATTCAACAACTCCCGTTTACCCTTGCTCCTCTAGTCCTGAAAGGTGAGTCCACACTACAAATGGGTTCTTGGTCTTTCTTCTTTCCACTTTCTTCTATAGAAATCTCACTCACTTCCACTCTTCTAGCCTACATGACGCTGAATGAGGCTTTTTCTGTTTCCAGGATCTGGAGACCTGGACCCAATGCTGAAGGGAGGGGGGCCTTATATATTCCCTACTGTCTCAACAATGCTGCAAACAGCACTGATGTAAGGCAACTTCTTCACCTCGTATCTGCCCAGATTGGAATAAACCAGAGTGCGTTCGGGCAGGTTCTGGCTACTTTTGTTAGAGGGAGGATCTAACCTAACCTGGCTCTCAGCACGTGAGCCCTCCTGCGCGGAGGCAGTGGGCGGCGGGGAGGCGGAACCTATTTGCGCGCGTCCCTGCTTCCGGCCGGGCGCGGGGCGCGGTGCACAACGCGCGCGCATCACCGCCCGGCATGGAAGCGCGCGGCGATTCCGAGCCGTCCGCGGGCTGCAGCGGTCTGGGCCCCGGCGGCGCTCCCGGCGGCGGTGGTGGCGACGCCCACTCATGGGCCCCGGAGGACGCCTGGATGGGTACCCACCCAAAGGTCAGGAGGCGCGAAAGGAGCTGGGCGCCCGTCCAGGCCCCCACCCCAGGCGGAACCCCCAGGCCGCGCCCCCCTCCTAACCCTCCACCCCTGCGGGGCTGCACCTCCGAGTTCGCGCGAGACCCTCCCGGGAGGGGACCCTTGTGCGCACTGCCCGCCGCAGGCAACACTGTTTTCGTTTGTTTAACTGAGTCCAACTATTGCTCTGACCTTACCCCCCTCGCCCCCTTCGCCATTCTTCACCGGGGTGTCAACGAACCCGGCCCCTCTCAAGCCGCAGGTCACCAAGAGCCTCTCCACCGGGGATGGTCCCCTCCACACTGCCCCCAGGACGGTCTGTGCGCCGTGGATGGGTCCGGGAGTCTGTAATGATGAAGGTTGGGACACTAAGCCTTGGGCCCGAGTGTGCGTCTTGATTTTGCCGCAGTGCAGACTCCTGATTTTTCTAAATTCTTGGAGAGTTTGAATAGGTTCTTCCCCAAAGCAGAACTACTTTGCGGGTGTTTGTTTTTGTTTTTGTTTTTTTCATTGTAAGCGGTAAGGGAGAGAAAGATTGTTCCTTGCTTGCGTCTGCTTGGCGGATTGCTGTCTAGTACCAGTAATACCCTAAGCGACGAATGAACCGTGAATCTCAGGGACTGGTCTAGTAACTTTGGGAGAATTACAGTCTTCTGCTGAAGAGCAGTATTTCGTAGGGAATCATCCCAAAACAGGAAGAGGACAATTTTGAAGGCAGAGGTCTGAAGCGTTAACCTCGTCTCCGTTTATCTTGCTTAATTTTATCCTGCTGGTCTGTCCCCTAATTCCCCCTCAAGGTGAGAAAAACAAGCAACAACACGGAGATGTTAATCATTCAGTGCCTTAGGAAGGAAAACCGTACCATGGAGAGGCAGCATCATGGTTAGGAGCATGAACTCAAAGCCGCATCGCCTGAGCTTGAATCCTGGTTCTGTCACGAGCTTTGTGATTTGGGGGCAAATTGTTGCATCTCATTGCACTGCAGTCTTCTCATCTGTAAATGAGAGCACTTTCCTCATAGGGTTATACCAGGATGAAATCAGTAAGAAGTGAAATCCCAGTAGCAAGTTTTTAAAACTTCATCTAGATTTGGTGGTGCTAGTCAGTTTTTATACTTGCAGATTTTTTTTTGTCTTTGAAATTAATGACTATAGAGGCCCAGACCATCCAATCTTCCCTTTTGATTTTTTCCTCTTGAAGGACCTAACTGATTTTATAAAAAGAAAGGAAAAGATATTGGGTGTTTGATTTTTTTCCACTTCTGCCTTATTATTCAATTTGAAAATTACTTAGGTCCATCTAGTAACATGGTATCAGATTTATCGTCCTCAAATACCACTTTCATTATATTCTCATGCTTAGAAGTCCTCAGTGTTTCCTTATGGGTAAAATGCAAACTTTTAGCTTGGCTTTCAAGGTCTTGCAACCTGATCCCCAATTACTTTTTCAGTGCTATTTTCAAGCACATTTGAGGTTTGAGGAGGACAACTGATAACACCCCTGTTCTGGGCCTGTACACTTAGGATGAGGTTGATGGGCCGTGCAGTTCTGCTAGTCCCTCACCTCTGCATTAGCTCCGCTGACCCACCTAGTCACTGACGTGGCTGGACAACCTCAGGGTTCCCCTGCAGGAGTAGGCCCCTGAGGAGTGTTCCCTCAATGCTGACCAGCAAGTCTGAAAGCAGCAGCAGCTTGCTTGGTCCTTTCTTTAAAATCTAGCAATTAAATAACTGCCTACTCTTGAGTGAGAAGGAGAGAGAGGCCAGGAGTGGTATTCTCACAGACTCTCCATGTGCAAATAAGAGATCAGGGGAATAGAGGTTCCCACTAACATGCCCCAACAAAAATCTTATTAAAAAATGTCTACTCCTGGCAGATAGGTTTTCTTATGGGCCCTTGAATATGTGTGGCTTATTCCCACCTTTGTGTGATTAGTTACACTGTTGCTCTACTGTCTCTTACTCACATCATACATGTCCTTCAGGCCCAACTTGTATCCCACCGCTACCATAAAACATCCACCAACCAAGTCACCTGAGTATAGCTCCTCTGACCTGTTGTGTCATGTTTTTTTTAATTCCACTCACTTGGTTTTTAATCACTTTCTGTCACCTATTGTTATTTGCCTAACAGTTGCAGGCGTGCAATGTGTTTACCCTAATAATTGTGAGTTTTCTAGAGGCAGAGATCAGATCTTGTATTGCCTTATAGCTCCCGCTATACCTAGAATTGAATTTTATTATATATATATAATAGTTGTTGGTTGAGTGAAAGAAAATATTAAGAGATTCTTCTGTCTCTGTTTAACAATTACATTTTGATTTTCAGTATTTAGAAATGATGGAATTAGATATAGGAGATGCTACCCAAGTTTATATAGCATTCTTGGTTTACCTGGACCTCATGGAGAGTAAGTGTTTGTTTATATTGCTTTATTATTGGGGCTGTGGTGGAGGGTTTGGGAATTAAGTTTGGATGCAGCATTATTGACATTATAATAAGCCATCATTTATGCATTTACTGTTAATTTTGTCATTTTGTAATTTCATCATTTACATTGGGTAACTAAATTACTGGGTAACTAAATAAAAGAGAAGATAAAAATGTAAAGATAGTGTTATAAGTGATGTTTGCTCAGCTGAATATTAGGTAGAAGTTTAGAATGTTTATCCTTGATTTTTGATCAACACTAATGTCCACTTGCTGATGCTCTTTCAGGTAAAAGTTGGCATGAAGTGAACTGTGTGGGATTGCCAGACCTCCAGCTCATCTGCCTTGTCGGCACCGAGATAGAAGGGGAAGGGTTACAGACTGTGGTGCCTACATCCATCAGTGCTTCCCTCAGCCATAACAGGTGGGCAGGTGCTTGTGGTCTTTGTTTAACAGGTTAGTTCATCACATTGTACACCTTAAACTTACATGGTGTTATATGTCAGTTATATCTCGGTTTAAAAACTGGAATGTGAGTGGATGAGAATGATGATATATTACAGGGAATGTTATATTAATTTTACAATGAAAATACATGCCAATCTGGATATTTCCTTGTTAGAAACAAATTATTTTCCATACACTGCATAACCAATCTGAGCACGCCAGTTGTAAACAGCTCTCCTCGACTATGCTGCTTAGTTGTTTGAGTACAGCAGGTTTTTTTGTAATGTTCTTTATTACTCAGGAACGTTTACATTTTTATGACTAGGAAATCTGGGTAGTATACAAAGCCTGGGAGCCGGAGGAGTTGGCATTTTGCTGGAGGTGCAATTTCATGTTAGGCATGATAGCTGTCCCCTTTATTAAAGTCCCAAGTTTGTAAAACTGTACTAAACTATTATTTACATAGTTAACTATAACTGAGTCATAAAATATTTCCCCAGTGAAGACAGTACATAATCTCACTATATCCTTTAAAACCACTTCATATACATGACTATTGAGTGGCATGTATATATTTGCATGGTGTATTATTTCCATTATTTATTTTATGGTGTATATGTATTTGCCAACTCCTTAAAGGTAGCAGTTCTAGGTAGCATTTGATGTTATATCTGTCTGAATTTCTGAGATCACCTACAAAGTTCTTGTATTCATTCCTCACTTAGTTTTCCAGGTTTTGGACCTGGTAATCTTATTTACATAGTTTTGGCAAGAGCACAGACAGGTTCCATTATAGAATGAATCGGTATTACAGTGGCAGTGAGTGAACGCACTCTCTGAGCAGAAGTAGTCTGTGACCAGTATTTTCTGTAAAGTGCTTAGACATAATATATGTTCACAGTGAAAACACTGGCATATTCTCTAAGTCTCAGAAGGTTTTTCAGGTCAAAGTTGGCATGAAGTAAAGTGAGTGAGATTACCAGATCTCCAGCTCATCTGCCTTGTGAGTACTGAGATGGGTTACAGACTGGAGCCTACACCCATCAGTGCTCTCCTTGTAAAATATTGATTGAATACGAATTGCTGATCTCCAGTAGGAGAACAGAAATGATAAAGTACCCCTATCTCGTTATCTAGTGGGAAAATTATGCTGACGGAGTATGAGGTTGTTTGCATTTCTTGAAGGACAGGACTCATCTCCTTTTTCTCTCATCTAAAGATACTACTTAAGCCTGGCTGGTGTGGTTCAGTGGTTGAGCATCGACCCATGCACCAACAGGTTCTCGGTCAGGGCACATGCCCAGGTTGTGGGCCAAATCCCCAGTGGGGGGCATGCAGGAGGCAGCCAGTCAATGTTCTCTCTCATCAGTGTTTCTATCTCTCTCTCCCTCTCCCTTCCTCCCTCTCTAAAATCAATAAGGAGCCCTGGCTGGTTTGGCTCAGCGGTTGGAGCATCAGCCTGTGGACCAGAGAGTCCCGGGTTTGGTTCCCACTAGGGGCACGTACAAAAAAAAAAAAAAAAAAAAAATCAATAAGGAAAAAAAAATTAAAGATACTACTTAATACTAATGTAAAATAATTTTTAAAATACTATATTAAGTTATATATTTGGATTATATATGCATATGGGAAGTACTCTAGATTGTTTCTTACTAAAGTGAATCTAAGAATCTGTGTAGTACATTTGGTAAATGACTGTAGAGGCTGTGAATACTCTGATTTCTCAGACCCAGCAATGGTATAAATGATATCAGTAGTTTCACAGAGGTCGAAGAGAGCTGATAAATTTGAAGATGAGACAACCAGAGGAACCCTAACGAAAGCCAGGGGCCTTGTTCAGTGCTAAGACAGCAGATGAAGCCGGACGTGTGTTCAGAGAGCTTGCCGGGCCTTGTTCAGTGCTAAGACGGCAGATGAAGCCGGACGTGTGTTCAGAGAGCTTGCCGAGCTCCTTTTGGACCACCTTGCCTTTGAGATTTGTTGAGTGTCCTAAATGGGAGAAGTGTATAACAACAAAGTTAGGATAATAAAATTAGGGTAATAGAATTTCACGTTTCTGTAATAATATTAGTATTATAGGTAGTTGAAATGGGAAAATATCTTAAATGACTTACACTAGGACCTATAGCAAATTATGGGGAAAAAATGTGTTTCTCTTTTTTACTACTGGTTCGTATGTTTTTCTGACTGAACCTATGTTGTCCTCGATTTCAATGTCAATTTAGTTTCTTTTGTAAAATATGAGATGCTGAAAACTAAAACCACAGTTGCCATATTTTAAGCTTATCTGTGTTTATACATATTGTAGGTTAATTTTTAACAAGCTAAGTGAAGTGTTTTGTAAATTATAACATCCAGAGACAGTGAAGATACTGTTTTCTTTAAGTGATCTGTAAATCTTTTTTTTTGCTTAGTAATACCAGTGAATCATTCATCCTGTTAAACCTGACTGAATTATAAAGGGCTCTTTCATCCTGGTGCCTGAAAGGGATAGTGGGTAGCTTATGAGAGGGTGGAGCCTCTCCCATAACCATTTTATCCCCCCAGTCCCACAAATTAGTGGCATTTCTTTTGATTTTTGGTAATAAATGAGTACCCTCAGCCATTTTATTTGAGAGAAAACTTCCAAATGTTCTCTTAGCATGTTCCCATCTGAGTATTACTCTAGAAATTTAGAAAAAGGCTTCAATATGCCATATACCAAATTGATCAGTTGCTAATTCAGCAGCCACAAGGCTAAATGTCTAAAAGTTTTTGTCATTTGGTTTGATCAGGAATCTTTTGGCTGTAGTATTGCAACTTACTAAGTGTTCCTCCTTTTTTTTTTTTTTATCCTCACCCGAGGATACTTTTTCATTCTTTGTTCAGATAGAGCAGGAGGGAGAGAGAGAGAGAGAGAGAAACATCTATGTGAAAGGGACACATCGAGTGGCTGCCACCCGCACGACCAACCAGGGCCGGGGACAAACTGCAACCAAGGTACATGCCCTTAGCAGGAACCGAACCCGGGTCTCTCCGGACCGCAGGCCGACGCTCCAACCGCTGAGCCAAACTGGCCAGGGCAAGTGTTCCTCCTTGATAACACGTACCACCTTTATTGCTCCTCTATATATCATATCTTTGGTTTTCTCTGACTGTTTGCTGTCTTCCTTCCCTTTTAGAAAATAACCCCCTGAATCAGGAACTGTGTTCTGCTCATTGCCGTTTCCCCAGTGCATTGCCTGGTGCCAGATACTTGGTATTAAATAAGTGTTTGTTGAGTGACTGAATGAGCTCTCTCAGACTACTAAATTCCTGCCGTGGAGATTTGCTAAATAAAATCTTAAAGAATTTAGGATATGCTCAAGCAACCTTCCAAGAGTCCAAAAAATTAGAATGTCTGCAAACTCCACTTGCTTGCAATATTTGCCATACTTTACACTGTAACAATAATACTTATCTGAGGATAGAGAGCAATTTCAGTGCCTCTCTTTGTAGTGAAACTCTTTGTCATATCCACCCCTCCTACCTTTAATCCCTTCTTTTTCCTTATTGCAGTGGTGGAGTGAAGGGTTACTAGAACAAACTGAGTTTCTTCTTTAGAACATGTAAAAAAAATTTTTTAAATTGAGGTACAATTCATGTGTGTTAGTTGTAGATATAAACATAATGATTCTATATTTATATACATTGTGAAATGATCACAATAAGTCTAATTAATATCACCTTACATAATCAGAAAAATGTTTTTTTTCTTGTGATGAGACCTTTTAATATCTACTCTCTTAGCAACTTTCAAATATGTAATACAGTATTATTAACTATATTTAGAATATTTTAAAAGATGTTCTTAATTATGAGACCTAATCCTGGAATGCTACAATATTTTTGAATGATACTCTATTAATTATTTCCCTGTAATTGAAAATATTTCTACTCTTCAAAAGTATATTCTTTATTACAAATTCATTTAGTGACCCTTATTTTATTTGAGGCCTAAAGTATAATTACTGGTAAAATGATTTCTTTCATTTTACCTCCCTGCATATCAGATATGTGTCCTCATATGACCTCTGTTGGAAATCTGTTGCTGGTGAAACCCCCAATTCTGGCAGCTTCTTTTTACTGACACAGCATTTTTCTCTTACCCTCCACACAAAAAACACATACAAAAAGGCTTGCAGTTTATATTAGCAGAATGGCTTCCCTCTGGGGGAGGGGGGTAGTCACACAGGCCCTTAATTGTTCAATAACCACCCCTCTTGGGATTTTAGCCACCTTGCCTTTTTTATGAGGAAATCCTTGGCATGATGCCCAAGGAGGTGGTCTGTTAGCCTTGAACTTTTCATCAGGATTGATCCTGTGCCTGAATCAGCTTCTTGGGCATCCTGGGCACCGATTTAAATTTGCATTGTTTTGCCCTGGCCAGTTTGGCTCAGCAATTAGAGCGTCAGCCTGCGGTCCGGAGAGACCTGGGTTCTGTTCCCGCTAAGGGTATGTACCTCGGTTGCAGTTTGTCCCCGGCCCTGGTTGGGTCGTGCGGGTGGCAGCCACTCGATGTGTCCCTTTCACGTCGATGTTTTTCTCTCTCTCTCTCTTTCTCTCTCTCCCTCCCACTCTATCTGGACAGAAAAGTGGGGAAAAAAAATTGCATTGTTTCATAGTTGGATTATGGGGTTTCGTTCTAAAGTATAATGAGGCAGATCAAGGAGTTGATGTCTTTGACTGATGAGGCTATAGCATGTGCCAGTTTGGTCACATTGAAGAGGACAGGAGGAGATACTGCTTTCTGTGGGTTGAAATTAATAATAATTTTGACCCATGATGCATTCTGTTTCAACATTTGAAGTTAAAAGTAGGGGCTGCTTTCAACTTTCTTGTCCTCTGTGTGACTCTCCAGCGATCACTTAGTCTCTATTGAAGGATTCTTATAGAAAAGTGAATGAGAAGATTCATGAAGGCAGTTATTTAGCTTGGGGGAGGGGCAGTGGCCAAACG